ACTTTCCTAAAAACCATGATTAGTCACCTCAAATTATGGGTATTAAGCCATTTTTTTATAAACCCCTGCCGTTTACATTATACATAGAAATATGTATTATACATAGAACTGTGTATTGTGGATCGGCCACCAAGCAAGCAAGAGAAGAGACCCGGAAAAGGTCACTTATGGAATTACTACGCAAGAATCTCGCCCTTAATAGCCGAAAACAAGTCATGTCATCGTATCCTTCAAACTCCGACAAGAACAACTACGACCCTAAAGAATCAGTTAAACAGCAGCCTGTCTTGATGGAAGAGCACAAGAAAGAATCTACGAGCACGCCATCGAAGGATCAACCATCGCTGGCTGACATGGTTCCCAAAAAGTCGCTGTCACAGAAGGAAGAAAACGCACTCCATCAGAAAGTTGCAGAAATGGTCGCATTGGATGTCCAACCTTATAGCATTGTTGAAGATAGGGGATTCAAAGCACTAATGAAAGAAGTCGTACCAAGCTATAGCCTGCCCTCTCGAACGAAACTGTTGAGGGTGCTCGTCCCGTGCTTATACAATGACACAAGAACAAAGGTGCGGCATGAACACTTTCGTTTTTACGAGCGACCTGTGGACTTTAAGAGCCAACGAGAGTTATTTAAACCTTATCGTCTGCTTTCTGACTACAGCATTCGAAATTAAAAGATTCACCCTCAACATGCGGCATATGCCTGAGAGTCACTCTGCTATTAACATTGACAGTTTATTAAAGGAGTTTTGCGTCGACAGGGAGGTACCGAACGATTGTATAAAGTACAATAATCCCTCGTTATAACGAAGTCAACTGGACAGCAAAAAGTCTTATATAAGTGGTACTTCGATGAAAGCGATAGAGACAAAAAAACAAAGTCAGCTGACTTGAAGGTGGACGGGAACACTACGGAACACTCCCACTGTATCTTTAATCAAACAAACCTTGGTTATGAACATCTCGCAGCAGCTTTACCGAGTAAAAAGATAATTAAGTTGAGTTTGCCGACATTCCGGGCATCAGTTCTTTTCGAACTGCTCCAGGCTCTGTCACCGCTGCTGCACTACACCTTGTTTCGAAGCAGCCGTAGGATGTTCCGCGTCTCCGCAGTTGTTGGCGATTCTCAAACTGCCTCTCCGACGTCGCTTTGTGTTTAACCGGGCCACACACAAGTTCTACGATCGCAGCATCCGTGGCAGAAGCAACAGCAGGAACATCCGCATCGACAAGCACGAACGAATCAGGGTTATCCTCGGTGGCTTTGCCAACATATTTTCACAGACTCCTGTAGAGATCGTTGCAGCTATGAAAATCGTGGGCCAGCTTGGCAAGCATGCTCGCAAGAGAAAATTTGACGTGCGCAAGGCAGTTTGCGTTTTTTCGTCTTCGGGTCCCGGCGCGCTTTTTTATGCTTTAGAAATTTCTCAAACGCCTCCAATATGCCTAGCTTGTTCTGCACAATAGTGGACAGTGTCGAACAGCTGATGCCGGAATGTTGAATTCTTTGGCGATTTCGGACTTGGGCCGGCCACTTTTCTCAACCTTGTAGATCAAAGCAACTTTTGGTAAACAATTCCAATCTCCCATACAAAACACGTGTATATGTAGTACGTCGCAAGCACACGTGTTGGGGACTCCCGAAGGGATGATGTCCTCCAGGCTCCATCGCTCCCTTGACCCGATTCTGGCGAAGTCAAGCAGCGCTGGCCGCAGGCGCCGTGAGTAGCGTTGGAACTTTGACGTTGCTCCCGCTGCTCCCTGCCCGCGTCCCCGTGTCGGCGCATCGGCATCGGAAGGAGCGCTTTGTCAGCTGTGCACACACTGCCTTCGTCACCCGTTTACTCCGCTTTCCCAGTTCGCTGTTTGCCTCGGTGGAGAAGGGGGAGGGAACGCAAAGGTCTCCGTGCACGTCTGTGTAGACGTGCATGCTTTTGGCACCTCGGCCTTGGTAACAGGCATGGTCGGCCACTGATACACTTAGAATAATTCGGTTAAAAATGTGTGCATTTCAGTCGGGACCACGTTAAACTTTGATGAAAGAGATAATTCGAAAAAAAACAATTTCGTTATAACGAGGGATTACTGTACATTGTGACAGACAATGGCCGCAGCATCCGAGCTGCTGCCAGGAGGTTGCCACGGCTTGAGCAACCCTGCTTTGCTTATGCCCTTCAGCTTGCCATCAATGATGCAAGATCGCTGACGTCGGCAATCGACAGACTGTGTAAGAACGCCAGAGCGATTGTGGGACATTATTTATTCACTTATTTATTTATTTATTTATTTCAATACCCTCAGGGCCCGGGGGCATTACAGAGGGGGTGGACATAAAATATTGGCACTGCATAAAATTCAAACAAGGCAACTTAGTTAAAAATGTTAGTACGGCATAATCCTAGCAAATGTGAGTAGTTAGAGCTTTTCTAAATAAATCTATTGATGGAATAGTTACTAATGATGCGGGAAGGTGGTTCCATTCAGATGACGTTTTAGGGATGAAAGAGTTGATGTAAGCAGAAATTTCGCAATGACGTATGCCAACTTTAAGTTTGTGATCAATGCGGGGAGAAATGAAGGGGGGGCTAATGAATAGTTTGTTTTTCAGTGAAGCGTTGGAATGATAGATTTTATGGAAGAGGCATAAACGAGATATTTTACGACGTGACGAAGGAAGAGGCAAGGCTAGGGTTGTTTTCATAGATGAGACACTTGCGGTGCGATGATAGTTGCAGACTATGAATCGTGCGGCGCGATTTTGCAGGGCTTCGATGTTTGTTATAAGAGTTGAGTGACCTGGATCCCAGATTGCTGCGGCATATTCCAACTTTGAACGTATTAAAGTCTTATACAAGAGAAGTTTTAGGGACATAGGGGTTAAGGAAAAGTTTCTTTTTAAATATCCTAGCATTGAATTAACGTTAGCAATTATATGATCAGAATGAGTTTTCCATGATAGGTTAGAAGTGACGTGAACACCGAGATACTTGAAAGAGGTTACAGATGCCAGCTGAATATTACATATTAGGGAGTTTTAGAATAACGTGCGCAATTTTAGCGCACGCTAGCGCTAAATTTAGCGCTTGTATTAGCGCACGCGACGCAACAGAGTTTTAGAATAGCGTTTCTCCATCGCGACGCAAAAGCCCAAGCATCTCGCGCTTGCGGCGCCACCAAGATACAGTAACAATTTTTATTTCACACACGAAATGCTGTAACTATAGAAAAAAACAAGTTTTTTGGTCCAGAGTAGCATTTTAGATTTGTTTAAACATGAGAATGCGACGCGAGCGGTTGACCGGTCGTGTCCGCTTGCGTCGCCTCGGCAAGAGAGGTCTCGTGTATTGACCTTCGCACACCGTACCTTCACCGAGAAATGTTCGCGCGTCGCAAGCATCAAGTTGCCGGTGATCGTTGCCAAACCGAGTACAATGTCGTCCTGCATTGAAAATCGCAGTCGCGAGGATGCCGCCGACGTCAGACTCACGACGCCGCCAAAGCAGTCGCCGACATAATCCTGCAAGCCGCCATTTTTTTACCCCTGCTCGTCTTGGCTTTAGCCAACTTCTCATCACGAATCCTCCTTGGAGGAGCGCAAAGACTCTTTGCGTACGCACGCTATTTCCGAGAAATAGCGCACGCTAAAATTGCGCACGCAAAGCGCAACACCTGGTTTGCGTTCGGAGCATGCGCAGTGCCGACGACGCTATTCTTTGCGTGCGCAAAGCTTTAGCGTGCGCTATTCTAAAACTCCCTATTGAGTATGGTGATGGTGATGCGTTACGAGACACCCTCATAGTTTTACATTTGTTAGTATTCAGAGTCATTTGCCATAAGCACAGAAAAGACTCGACGACCTGCAAAGGCAACTGAACAAGAATATATGTTGCTCGGGACATTGACCACAAGGTGGTACAGTCAATACCTCATGCATTTGCGGCTACTCGAACTCAAAAAGGCCATCACACCTGAGCTTGCCACTTCGGACACAACCATTGACGGCTTTAATTCTGCGGAGTAAAGAGACGCGAAGGAGTAGTTTGTGGAAGCACTGAGTCCCTCGTTTGATGCAACTGCCATCTCAAATGCTGAAAAGTACTTGAGATAACAAATGGAATGCTTTTGATCATCTGGTGATGAACAGGAGTAGGCCCAAATGGCACCAGTCCCCGAGAGGAAATGGTGGAATAAGCGAGTGGTGGCGGTCATTTGGCTGCTTTGTGCACCCACATTTAGGCAAACTCTGCCAGAAGTACTTGGCTATCCCTGCCACCTCAGTTCCAAGCAAAAGGGTATTTTCTGCTGCAGGAGGGAGCTATTGCCACTGCGAAAAGGGAGCGCCTACGTACAGAACATGTGGAACAACCAAGTTTTTTGCACGATAATTTGCATTAATTGCAGTAGCAGCTGCTATTTAACTTGCTGGATAGTCAACAGCGATTTCAATTATTTTCTTAAAAAAGGCCACTATCAGTTGTTTGCGAAACAACACTGCAGGTTGCATTTTTACTTGCTATCTAGACGCGTGAAGTTTTGTAATCCTCAGTTTGTCAATTTGTGTAACTTATCAGTTGCACCTTTTGTCTGCTTTCATTTGCAGTTGACAGCTGATTACTAGTCAAGGTATAATAGGTGTGTTACCAGTTGCATTATTTATATGCTGCCGAGTCAGGTAGTTTGATTTACTTGAATTTGCTAACATCATTTTCGATGTTGAAGGTAATAAAAAAAAGTATTTCAATATTTCCTTTAGCTATTTTTTAATGGTACACACATTTTCCAAACATATTCGATATTCGGAGCCATTTTTTCTAATACATATTCCTATTCTATTCATATTTGAAAATTTCAATATTTGCACACCCCCAGTACTAAGCTAAGTTATTAAGTACATGACTGTGCTTTCTCCGGTGATGTCCAGAAAAGTTGTTGGGTGGAAAAGTGCCTCGCCACAATGACAAAGAGGATCAGAAAACGGAGGAGGAACCACGACTCACCTCTGAAATGCGCATATAGATGCCTCTGGTATTCTGCCCAATGTCGAAGTAAAATGTCTTGTTTTCTACGCGCATGTGGCGCCCTTCGGGTAGTTCCCCCTTGAAGGCTGCAAAGGGGGAGGACAATGTTGTGAGGTGAAGCCGACAAAGGAAACAACAAAGAAACGACAAGGTTTTGAGCCTAAAGGACAACTCTGCTGTATTCTCCAAAGGATTCTGGATTAGTGGGCGATCTCCTATCGACAAGTACTATGCTGCACGTCATTACCGTAAAATACCGGGCAAGCGCCCACTCAAACTTCAGAGATAATCACAAAAAATGGGGGATGGGCGCTTGTCCGGTCATCAATTTTACATATAAATGTACTGTGCGTATTTTCTCAGATCTTAAAAATTTGGGGATGGGCACTTAATGTGGAATGGGCGGATGCGCGGTATTCTACAGGAGTTTCCCGCAGTCAATATTTTCCATGCAATCTTGCTTTAGACACGATCCCACACCCGAAATCCAGCCGACCAAATAATATACACATGCAGTTTGACCCCCCTCGCCCTCTTCGCACTCCAAGTCATAGACATCCCAGCTACCTCAGCCCCCCCCCCCCCCCCCCTTTCCCCCCTCTCCCCCTGAAAAAAATTCCTGGCTACGTCACTGCAGATGTCCAGCTGTCAACACAAGCTTGCAGAACTTTCCAGGCTTTTTCCAGGCTCCGTCAAGACATCCTGACGATTTTTCAACTTTTTCAAACTCTCTAAAATTCTCGAACTGAAGTTTCCCTCCTTTTTCCCTGTTGGTGTTATAGCTGCCTTGAAAGTCAACAGAAGCTTTCTCCCCAGGCTTTTCCAGACTCCCTCAGACATCCGACAATTCTTCAACTTTTCCAAGCTCCCTAAAATTTCATAACTCTCAATTTTCCTCCTTTTTCCCTGTTGGTACTGCTACATAGCTGCCCTAGGAGTCAACACAAGCTTTCTCCCCAGGCTTTTCCAGACTCCCTCATAGCATCCTCGATCATCCGCACCGGTGCGCACCGGGGCACTGAGGTGCGCCCCTTCATCTTCGATCAAGTGCACCGGTGCGCACCGTACATCCTCGATCAACGAAGCGCACCCTCCCGGTGCGGCTTTTCGTTGCCCCAACGCGCACCAAGAAAATCGGCGGTGCGGCGGGGGGCAGTCCCATCAGGCATTGCGGCCAGGAGCGGGAATCGAGAAGATGGCGGGAGTAGCAGACGCGCAGACTATCGAGATGGCGATCTTGCAAAAACGAACACGCCTTGCAGCTGTACTAGATGATTTCCTCGGGTCTTCTGACGGCGAGACGACGAGCTTCTCACCACCGCCGCGATTACTGGCGATTGCTGCGGTGGCAAGGAGCGCCCGAAAAGCACGAACTTCGTGGAAAGCGGCGCGAGGCGTTTCAATGACAGCGAGGTACGGCTATTATCTGGTGTTTCGTTTTCTTGAACTAATAATGATGGCCAACATATACATGTGGAATTGTCACCCGCTTCGTGACCCCATCGACAATCATGTCCACGATGTTTATTTCTGTGGGACCGTCAAATCCGCGAGTAAAAAAATAAAAGAAATTGACAGCAGACGGGCGCCATGCGCTGACCTACGCAAAATAAACGAACAAAACGCGAAGTGACGCAAGGTGGAGCTCGCCGCGGTACACCGGCGCGGCGCAGTTTGTCCTCGATGTTGCACCGACAACGCGCTGCCCGACCGAGGAGCGCTGTGCACTGTGCTGGTTTCAGGGCGATTCCGGTGCGAGTTGATCGAAGATGCTATCAGACATCTAACAATTTTATAACTTTTCCAACTATCTAAAATTTCATATGTCTCAATTTCCCTCCTTTTTCCCTGTTGGTACTACTACATAGCTGCCCTGGGAATCAACCCAAGCTTTCTTTCCAAGCCTTTTTCCAGAATCCTTCAGACGTCCTGATAATTCCTAGATTTTTTTCAAGTTCCCTAAAATTCGTCTCCCCTCTTTCCCTGTTAGTATGCGTCCAGTAGCCAACACAAGCTTGCAGAACTTCCCAGGCTTTTTTCAAAGCCTCCCAAACGTCCCAACAATTCCTCAACTTTTCAAAGCTCCCTAAAATCCCCCACAACTCCAGGTTTCCCACTCTTTCCTTGTTTGCGAACACCCTGAGGGTCAACCCAGAAGACGGAATGAAAAAGGGTGGACCTACCTCCGTCGTCCGTGCCAAACTCCTCTAGCAAATCTGTGAGGGCGTCACGGAACTCGATCATACCCTGTGCGGGGATGGCAATCTGGGACCTAGGACCCCCTCGTGCTATCGTCTGAGAAACCTGCAGGCATCAGGGAAGAAAGAGGCAGAACGTTAGGGTGCAGCATCTGAACAGAAGCCTGACTGCAACAACAGCCCAATACCCTTGTTACACGGGCCACTTCAACCGCAGTGCATTCTGAAACAGCAAGTATGTCGCTGACGCTGGCCGTCACTTGTGTTGCCACAGGTGGTGCTACCTTGAACTCGGTTTGGCGAAGTCCATCCAATCAGTTCAACTGAGGTAGATGAGCCCCGTCGAGTTCAACTGCCGTAGTGGCTCAATGACAGATGGCGCTTCTGTGTAACCCTGGTCGATTGTGAACGAGCACCACCGGTCGCCTGCTCAGCGACAGTTGAGAGTACTCACGTAACAGGGTTGTTAGAGAGAACGTGAGATCATGACCTTGTGGTCTCATCGCAACTTTCTGCCGAGGCAAGCAGTGCCGCAAGTGCCACTTGGAGGTTCGAGTTATTGTCTTTTTTATTTTGCCCATTCTAAGGCTCTACAGCAGGGGTGGCCAAGCTGCGGCTCGCAAGCCGCATGCGGCTCTTCGCGTGTTAAAGAGCGGCGAGCGGCTCCCCTCCCCTCCCTCCTCTCCTTCCCTCCTCCTCCTCCTCCTTTTCCCTCCCCCCTTCCCTCTCGGTCCCACGAGCACTTCTCCAAAAAGAGAAATGGAACAAGTTTTAAATCGAAAGACAGGTTGCGATTTGGTAGTCTTGTGCTACTGGTACCTTACATACAGTTGGACTGCTTCTGAATTGGACTGGAAATAGTTCGAGTTTCGTTTATTGCTCTAGACAAAAGTTTGCCCTGCCCCTACCCCTACCCCCCCCCCCTGCCCTCCCCCACCCTCCCCCGCCGGCTCTTGGAAGTTTCATTGTTTTGTTTGCGGCTCTTGGGCCAGGTCAACCTGGCCACCCCTGCTCTACAGTGTCATGAAAATTAACTTTTTCAAAGGCTTAGGATGTGTCATGCACAAATAATAGCTAAAAAAGCTTCAAACCCAATCTTTTTTTTCTTTTTCTTTTTGAAAAATGTTTTTATTTTATAGGAAAAACATAATGCCTATTCTATATTTTATGACTACAAAGAGATTAATATCAGCAGGATTTAACTTACATCTGTAAGATTGTGTCAAGGTTCCTTCAACTTTGATGCATCTCGTGTTGAATATATTTCATAGTGTAAAAGAAAAAAATAAACTTGCCAAGAGCCAAGCTACGATGCCACATACAATGTTACGATGGCAGCTGTTTGCTTACTTCTCAAGAATCAAATGATGATGACACAGTTTCCAGTAAATTAGATGTATTTGGAAAGCAATGGCATCTTTCAGCTCTTGCATCAGTTTGCATCTCTCACCCACAGCCAACTTCATCTCTACAGCATCATACACAATGTCGGTTGGGAACCGTTGAGCTAATCCATTAGATGTTTTGACCCCAAAAATATTTCGAGCCGTCTGAAGTAATTTCTGAAGGATTTGTACCCTGTCAGTCAGAACTAATGAAAAGTTCTCAAGCCCTGATCATCATAGTGATTCGAAACTAGCACTACATACACCGGCAAAGAAACCGAGTTTCTTTGGTTCAACGAAATGCATCAACACAGAGCTTAGTTAACCGTAAAAAGTCACCGAAGCGCATTGATCTTCTTGAGACATTCACAACATAATGTATCTTTGTGTGGCCAGCACTGGCCCGGTATTGAGCTACATGCCACTAGGCATCGGTGACAGTGCCACTGTGGCACCAGCCTGAATCTTTGAGCGCGAAATGACTGCACTGCTTCCTCACTCCCGGCCCAGCCCCTCAACACGGCATTTACATGTGCATCTACACCTAGTAGTGTAAATGCACACCAGTGTGCCTACAATACAGTGCTTCTATGATGCTGCTCTGGGGTAACACCATGTAACAAAATTCCGATGATGCTTGCTTCACAAGCTTCCACTAGACGTTACTTGGTAATTATTTTCTTTGCTTCGAAATACATTTTTCTGTGTTCCTTATGAATGACTGGTGTGTTTCCGAGATGTTTGTACGCCGGGACACATGTTCAATCTCTGTCTTTTTGCCATCTCTAATCGTCCTCTCGGGCAACGAACGAAGGTCCAAAAGCCCAGTTTGCACATCCTATTGAAGGCCAACGTACGAGTAGGAAGTAGGGAAGCCTTCCCTCTTTCAGCAGAGATTAACCCTGGCATGTTCGGCGTTCAGGCAAGGAGGACCAGAGAGACTGGAGAGACACAGACCAAAGGCAATCGGGCATGAAACATGAGCCAGCCAAAAGAGGATGTGTTGCGCAAGGGTCGTTCAAAGTTGACCGGGACTTCTGTGCGTAAAAAATCGGCGAACAAATCTAACATGAGGAGATTTACAGAGGACGTTAATGCCATACAATCCTTTTTAAATATTTTGCACCTACAATGACGCATTTGATGCATTCGCAGCAGTTCCAGCTATCGTGGTGGCAAACAATGTCGGTAGCAGGAGAGAAGTGGTGCGGTATGCATTCGAAATTCTAGTTAAGAAAGTTAAGCCAGTTGAAATTTTAACGAGATTGCAAGAACAATACGGGGAACAAACGATGCCACGGACAACAGCGTACGAATGGTGCCAACAGGGAAGGACGAGAAACGGCGCACAAATCAACCGCACAAACCCGTTTGTCCAACTGCAGTAACGCAGTTCAGTTCCGTCTACGCCAAAGAAATCGGCGAGCTGCCGAAACGACAGCAGCTGTGGCGCTCGTCAGGCTTTTCGTTTCTCCGCGAGAACCAAATTCCCGGTCGGCCTCGAAACGACCCTAGCACGTCCGCCCTCAAAGTGCGCCCCAAAGCGCGCCCAAACTCACCCTTAGAAAGCGTCCCCTAGAGTTTTCCTTGAGGTCCAGGTAGTAGCGCCTATTGTCCTTTATCATGATTTCACTCTTGAGCTTGCCGTCCTCCGGGAGGTTTTCCGGGTTCGGAGGCCCTGCACACCGGGAAATGACAACACCCGTTTTCACGAAACCCACATTCGACCACGCTGGTTCTCAAAATCGAGTTCCGAGGAACACGGGGTTTCCCCTGCCTGACGTGCCACGGAAGCTTAGGCAGTCGGGAGTTGGGATGCCGCGACGATGGCGACGCTCCCGTTCGTTCGGTGCTTTTTGCCGGCATTTTGACAACCGACTGCCTGGATTACGACACTGCGACACCCCGGCATTTGCGACATCGTCTGTTGCCGCTCCGGGACCCCTCTCGATGCGTGGGCGGGACGGGACGACAAACGCACTGGTGGGAGACGCGTTCCGGTCACCGTACCCCGAGTAAAGCAATTTCCCAGTTTTAAGAACCATTTTAGCGGATCTGAGTCACTCATTGACGCGTAGCGACGAGCCAAACACTTTCTGGTAGATTAGTTACTGTTTGCAAGCTAGCGACGGTGACTGTGCGGACAAGTCTACGAGAAGGGATTGACTGGGATGGCTCGTATCGTCTGCTGTGCTCTATTATAAGGTGAAACAGAGTACCGTATTTTCTAGGCCATATCCACAGACTATATACGTTCGAAGGTTTAAATTTTACGCGGTGCGGACCATCCACAAATGCAAATATACGAGAATTTTGTTTTTCAAGATCGTTCATTGGGACGTGACGAATTGTGTGAAGGAAAGAAGTATGTTAATGATGATTTATATATGATACAAACTTCTTTATGAGCTAAGAAAGCAGAGATTTGTCAACCTGTGTTGTGCATAAGAAGATTCTCGTGTCGACTAAGCATCAGGGGCGAACTATGCACGAATATGCGGACCACAGTCTGGAAAATACGGTACTCAAGCGATGGAACGTCACCCTCACGTCGATTACAAAAGTCGCCTCAGAGTCGCAGCCCACCCAAAGCACGCCGCGTGTAAAGCTTACCGAGGGAGGCGTAGAGTTCGCTGAAGGACGTCAGGTGGTCCCTGAACTCTGCTGCTGTGGACATGGCTAGTAGCAGCCTACTTTTCCTACCCACTACCCCAACCTGGAGGACAGAGAAACAAAAAGACACGGTCAGCTCACCGAGGGACATCCGACGACAAACAGGCTTGTGGAGTGGGTGCAACTGTCGGCAGCAGTCGTTCAAAGCACAGCGTAAGGGAAGCTGAACAAACTTCCAGTTCAAATTAAAGCGTAGAATGCTTTACAACTGAACCCTTTACTCCCAGAAATGTGATTGTACATCTGTCCGTGAATACCCTGTGGCAAGGGTATGCCCGGATGCCAGTTTGTTTGCGCCTGGGTGTCGAGTCGTGGTGCAACATGAAGTCAGGTTGCGTGGAATCACGGTGGCGTGTGACAGCATGCCACATGACGTGATGTTGTGTGATACCACGGCTCTACGCTGTTACACTACGCAACCACCGTCGCATGCCGTCACACTACCGTGTAACATGACACCATGACATAGTGCAGACCTGTTTGCGTCACAATGTTGAAAGTACTAAGGATGATGTCATTTCAACTTGGGTACCAAACTATCACCAAGCATACTTTCCAAAATGCATGAGACGCTGCCGCATTGGCCTTTCTTGGGATGACCTCGTCAAATACTTGCTCGAGGCACTTCCTAAACTGGCTGCATTTCAAGGATAACAGCTGCTCGACAGTATTTTTCAACAAGGAGGTGTGGAAATGGGTGTGAGCATTCTTTACTTTGCCAAACACTCTATGCTGCTATACAGGAGTCTCAAAATTTCCAAAACATCCTGCGAAACCCTGTCATACCAAAAAGTACTGTCTCGAAGACTGGCGCCGCGGATCACTGTTCATTCATCCACCTCCATATTTACTTAGCTGGAAGTTCTCATTCCTACAGAAGGTGCTTGAACTAAGCCTGTTTATCATCCAGCTTTTCATTGCTGTCAACCACATTCGCCATGTCTTTGTGCTTCTCTGTACCGAGATGCGACAAAATGTCCCGTAAACCGGCGGGCAAGACATTCCCATTACAGTGACAAAGCTGCCGAAAGTGTACCATCCACCCTCACTGGGCTTCAGAGTCAAGGAGAGTCTGTCAAGTCACTAGGAACGAACACCCAAAATAATTTCTTCTTGTGTCGAAACCCACACACAGCCGCAACGCAACAACGAGCAGCATAATGCCACAAATAGAGCATCGGACTCAAAAGGGCTAAAGCACAGTGGCCTAAAGCTCCTAGCGTGCTTGGTTGCACACGGGAATGACAGCTGGATGAATGGACGGTGATGGCTATGCGGTTATACCAAGTTATACTCCTTGCATCGGGCGGCAGCTTGCACTACCTAGCAGAGACGAGGATTTTGGTATTGCCAACATTGCATCAATAACCTGCTATTATAAGCAGCTGGTGTAGGGCCAATTTTCGAGCTTTTCCAATTAATTTTTTGTAGTGCACAAGTCACACGAAATCATAGAATTACATTTCTCAGTATGGTGCTCGTAAAAAAGCACTGGGAATCGGGCACTTTACGATGGAGTCATAAATCTTAGGGTGCCTAGCAAATTATTATTTTGGAATTCCCTGACTTTTCTAGGTTTTCCCTGACAATTAAAGCTGAAATTCCCTGACCGCAGCAGAGGTGGATAAATATATAAGACCATTACAACACAAGGCATTGAGCACTGGGAGGATCATTTTGCACGGGCTTAATCCAACTCGCATATTCCGAAATATTCGGGTTAGTCTAGTCGGGATTAAACGAGCATTTTCTTGCCGCCGACATCGTCTGTGAAGAGGCCACTTCCGGAAACACAATGAAAACAAACACAATGAAACCATGCGCTCAACCACACTAGTCAATAACCGAATGGCAGCATGGCCGCCGGATGCACGCTTTCGGGAACTTTCGGATACTTTAGGCTTGGATTGGATTGGGGTCTGCGGCTTTTCCATTCATTTGAAGATAAAGGTCGCAACCCATTTCCCTAAAAGGGTCCCTAAACAAAACCTGAAGATGGGAAGAAGGATGTCTTTTCTCTTCTGCACGTGATCATCTCGTCATACAATCACGGTGTCACGTGACCGTGTAATGTGACGTCGGCTCAAGTGAAATCGCAGTGCCGCTTAAGAAGCTTGGACCTGAGAGTGACATCTCTTAGGACTCGTCACTAGTGTTGTGCGAATATTCGAATTTCCGAATAGTATTCTCGAATAGTACTCTATTCGATATTCGCTTCGAGAGCAGTGGTAATATTCGTGCTTTTCGAAGTGTTCGCAAACTCATGGTCGCAAGTTTGTTTACTGTCTAAGACCAGAAAGAAACGATATCTAAGCTCAAGAATATACTCATACGTTCGGCGAAATGGTATAAATATTATGGTGGGAACTTCGAAATATATTCATCGTAATTATTTAATCAACTTGTTTTAATAACGGCCAAAAGAAACCGAGCTACGAGCTCCAGAGACGCCGGCGCCATCTTCGCCAGTTTTGGCTCCGTGGTTGCCAGCACATTTTTTTCACCACCGCCACGTCCAGACATATATTTAGAAAAACAAGTTTAGCATAAAAATAAATATGTTTGCATAATTGCTCAGAAACTTTTATTTCCGGTAAAACTCATAAACACGGTTTCAAAACATTTAAACTATAATATTTTGAAGGAATATTATATTATTACAGCGACAAAGTGAGTTGATGACATCGACATTGTCAAAATGACGGCAGCTAAGTCGGTTGGCAAGATGGACTAACGACAGCGTGAGAAGTCCAGTTTGGAAGTATTTCTGTAAACAACCCCCTAAAAACGGCCAAGTTTTTTGAACGGCAAGTATTCGATGTTCGATTCGAAAATATTCGACCAAAATCACTATTCGCTTCGAATTCGATTCGAACTCAAAATCCACTATTCGCACAAGCCTACTCGTCACCGTTCCAGCACCATGGCTATGCAAACTGTTGCGAACACCGTGACGTCATTAGCGTGACGTCAGCATCGAGGCAGCTCCTGGGCGCGGACATAAAAACCCCAAAAGCTGGCCCTATAAATCCTACGCATCCAAAATGAAAAGGAGCATGAACCTTTAAGTATATTTTTTGCAAAATAAAAACACGTAAACAAACTGGATTTCCTATATCGTATTTACTCACATAATGAACGCACTTTCTCCTGAAAAAATTTACACATATTTGGAAAGTGTGTTTAACATGTAGGCTAAAATTTTTGCATTTGCACACTTCGTGTAAATGTCATATTAGGTTCCAACATGACACGGCAAGATACTGTGGCACGTCTCCATTGATGGAGGCGCACCCACGGCTGGTCGGGGGCGCGCCACAGTAGCCATGCTTTGTAAATTGCAAACTCTTTTGGGGTGCTTTCGGCATCCCTTTTGCCGAGGGAAAAGCAACCTACGAAGCTCACTCAGCATGAAGAGCAATGTGACCGTTCTTCGGCTTAACCATTTTCACAATTTCACTGTCCGAAAGCGAACCACAGACGATGATGTGTTTGTTGGCATCAATGCATCCGATAGGCGAAGGATGTCCATGGCTAAGCAATTCTACGACCCAAGCTCTGTCAAGTGTGCGCGCCGCTCGGTTTCAATGTTGATCGCTTCCACAACTACGCACTTGCAGCCATTATGAGAGCAGCTTGGCTTGGCTTGACTTGGCCTGGCCACTTGGCAGCAAAAGAAAATTGGTTTAGTGGGCTTGGTGGCTAGCTAAGTTGGACGCAATCCGAGACCCACGGAATCGAAAATTGGAGGTGTGCTCATTACACGAGGGGAAAAAGGTCAAAATATTGGTACCCGTTGTGGGGGGTGAGTTCATTATGCGAGTGCATTCATTATGCAAGTAAATATGGTACTACTTTACGGGAGAGAGATGCTTATTCTGAACCCTAATCAATGTGTCAAATTCGTAGGTTACAGTCACCCAAGCAGAAATGCAATTAAGTTACCAACTGTACTAAAGTTGACATTTGGGCTAGTTGGTAGTATAACATATTGAGGTATTTAGGGCAAAAAGTAGGGAGAAGAACAGGACAGAAAAAAGTGCAACTCCAACTATGTTTTATTTTCCTGTTAGTAAATGTAGCTGTGAGTGGCGCTCTTTTCTGTCCTGTCCTTCTTGTCTCTACTTTGTGCGCTAAATACCTCGATAATTAAGTTACAAATACAGCTGCGTTATCACAAGCGTATCTAACTACAGTTGAAGCTACTGCAAAAAGGAACACGAAGTTGAGTTCGAGGCATACCTCGGCAAACTTACTCACAAACTCACTCACAGTCGCCACGTGATTGAGAGTGGATTTGAATAACTCCGTGATATGTCTCTGAGTTTGTGAGATGACACTGAGTGACTCCATGATATGACTCTGAGTTCAAGAGATGATGTAGAGTGACTCCGTGATATGACTGAGTTTGTGAGATGATATTGAATGACTCCGTCATATGACTCCGAGTTCGTGATGTTGAGTGACTCCGTGACATCAGCTTGTGATGTGACTTTGAGTGACTCCGTGTTGGGATTGTGAACTGATCTGCTTGCAAAAAAGTCTGTTGGAACTTGAAAGCGGGGTGCACGGTACTTTTGGTTTCTTGCTCAAAAGCAGCAGCTTGACCTTGCACGCAGTATAGCACACTGGAGGCGAGAGTGCAAAGGTGGCTCCTCGAAGGAAAGTTCTCGTGTGGTGAGAGGGCTGCCGTCGCGTTTGGGGTGGGGGGGTGGTCGTGGGGGTTGAAGTGGCGCTGAAGTAGACTTGATGGCGGCGCACGGCAAAGGTGTGCGAAGTGTATCTAGAAGGGCCCTTGCTCTTTCCCACATTGCACGCGTTTGCCATGCAAGAAAGGGCTCCACGTTCGCTTTTGTCGTCACCCCGCGTGCCCCTTTCCAACTGTTAGGTATACAGCTTTCCAAAAAACGCTCCTAGGCCGCCGCCATGTTGCTGATGCTGATGCGGCTGGTGCGACTCTCGCGCCCTCTATCAGCTAGAAATTTTCTGCCACTCTCCGGGACTGTCAAGACCCGCTCAGCGCGATTCTCTACCTACGTTTTT